CTTATTTGTTGTTTGTTTCACCCCCAAAAATATTTTCCATCTTCAAAGTGGTAGGCATGTTGTGTAAATCAAATGATACAAACCCCCAAAAAAATCCATTTTAATTCCAGGTTGTAAGGCAACAAAATAGGAAAAATGCCAAAGGGGGTTGAATACTTTCGCAAGCCACTATACCTTTTCACAACACAACTGATTGGCTCAAACGCATTAAGAAGGAAAGAAATTCCACAAATGAACTTTTAACAAGGCACACCTGTTAATTGAAATGCATTCCAGGTGACTACCTCATGAAGCTGGTTGAGAGAATGCCAAGAGTGTGCAAAGCTGTCAAGGCAAAGGCTTTTTGAAGAATCTCAAATATAATATATTTGTTTAACACTTTTTTTTCGGTTACTACATCATTCCATATGTGTTACTTAATAGTTTTGATGTCTTCACTATTATTCTACAATGTAGGAAATAGTAAAAATAAAGAGAAACCCTTGAATGAGTAGGTGTTCTAAAACTTTTGACCGGTAGTGTATACTAAATAATGTATGAAATTAGTTTTGATTTAGAACGGGCCATTATCATCCACCTGTCGGAACAGGGGCAGGGGGAAAAAGACATGTCATCTGTATGCACTTGAATAGGAAATGGGGGACGCTTTTCCCGTGGTTCATTTTCATGACAGCCAAGTAGGCTAATCTGGTTGTAAAGCAACGCAATGAGCTCAATATAGTCTATGGAAAGTTGGTGTGTGTGTGTGTGTGTGATGAGATATATATATATACTAAATATATAATATATATATATAATATAGTATATTTGTATAATTAATGTAGCCTATGCTATAGAAACTGATGGGTCTCTTTCAATGGCTACTAATGACCATCAGAGGCATCAGATCAGTTTAGTAACCTAGTTCGATGACTCAACTGCTTGAAAGCAGTATCCAGACCTGTTGTAGTGATCACAATTATAGTAGCCATATCTAGAAAACCAAGTTCCAAAGTGGCTATATGTATGAGGTCATACAATACGTTGTAGGATTCTTTTGCGAGTAATAATACTTGCGATGGTCGGCTGTTTGGGAAAGCGTATGCTGACCTTAAATGCTTGAACAGTCATATAAGCATCCACCATTAGATCACTAAAATTTAAACCTATTGATTAGAATAAAGCAATGCTGGGCTGATATGGAAGGTAATACATACTGTCAGAGAACTATGTATTGAGAAATTGATAATGATCGTGTGAATGAGCTAACAGAAATTGCCCTGACACATTTATGAAATTGCTTATCCCAGTTACTAATAAGCATGCACCCATTAAGAACATGACTAAACATTTAAATCCCTGTGGATTGATGGAATTAAAAAATTGTATGGTTGATGAGGCAAAAGGAATGGCAAATAAGTCTAGCTGCACAACCGATTGGCAAACGTACTGCAAATTGAGAAATCGTGTGACTAAACTGAATAAACATAAGAAACTATGGAAACAAAGATAAATGACAGAATGATAGTAAAAAGCTTTGGAGGATCTTCAATGAAACTTTGGGGAAAAATACAAACTCAGCTCCATCATTCATTGAATCAGATGGCTCATTCATTACAACAGATATTTTTTTTCAATTTCCCTACACATCCAAGTATATCTGACCAAATTATGAAAGACCAGAACTGTAATTTTGAATTCCGTAAAGTGAGTGTGGAAGAGGTGAAAAAATGGCTGTCTATCAACAATGACAAGCCACCGGGGTCTGACAACTTGGATGGAAAATTACTGAGGATAATAGCGAACGATATTGCCACTCCTATTTGCCATATCTTCAAATTAAGCCTACTAGGAAGTGTGTGCCCTCAGGCCTGGAGGGAAGCAAAAGTAATTCCACGAGCTAAGAATAGTGAAGCCCCCTTTACTGGCTCAAATAGCCGACCAATCAGCATGTTACCAACCCTTAGTAAATTTTTGGGAAAATAATAGTGTTTGACCAGATACAATGCTATTTTACAGTAAACAAATTGATAAGTGATTAGTCCCCTGTAGCTCAGTTGGTAGAGCATGGCGCTTGCAACGCCAGGGTTGTGGGTCCGTTTCCCACGGGGGGCCAGTATGAAAAATGTATGCACTCACTAACTGTAAGTCGCTCTGGATAAGAGCGTCTGCTAAATGACTAAAATGTAAATGTAAATAAGACTTTCGGCACGCTTATAGGGAAGGACATTCAACAAGCACAGCACTTACACAAATGACTGACTGGCTGAGAGAAATTGATGATAAAACGATTGTGGGGGCTGTTTTGTTAGACTTCAGTGCAGCTTTTGACATTATCGATCAGTCTGCTGCTGGAAAAATGTATGTGTTATGGCTTTACACCCCCTGCTATATTGTGGATAAAGAGTTACCTGTCTAACAGAACAGAGGGTGTTCTTTAATGGAAGCCTCTCCAGAATCAGGAATTCCCCAAGGCAGCTGTCCAGGCCCCTTACTTTTTTCAGTCTTTACTAATGACATGCCACTGGCTTTGAGTAAAGCCAGTGTGTCTGTATGGGGATGACTCAACACTACATGTCAGCTACTACAGCAACTGAAATGACTGCAACACTTAACAAAGAGCTGCAGTTTCAGAATGGGTGGCAAGGAATAAGTTAGTCCTAAATATTTAAAAAACTAAAAGCATTGTATTTGGGACAAATCATTCACTAAACCTCAACTAAATCTTGTAATAAATAATGTGGAAATGTAGCAAGTTAAGGTGACTAAACTGCTTGGAGTTACCCTGGATTGTAAACTGTCATGGTCAAAACATGTTGATACAACATTAGCTAAGATGGGGAGAAGTCTGTCCATAATAAAGAGCTGCTCTACCTTCTTAACAGCACTATCAACAAGGCAGGTCCTACAGGCTCTAGTTTTGTCGCACCTGGACGACTGTTCAGTCGTGTGGTCAGGTGCCACAAAGAGGGACTTAGGAAAATTGCAATTGGCTCAGAACAGGGCAGCACGGCTGGCCCTTGGATGTACACAGAGAGCAAACATTAATAATATGCATGTCAATCTCTCCTGGCTCAAAGTAGAGGAGAGATTGACTTCATCACTACTTGTATTTGTGAGAGGTATTGACATGTTGAAAGCACCGAGCTGTCTGTTTAAACGACTAGCACACAGCTCAGACAACCATGCATACCCCACAAGACATGCCACCAGAGGTCTCTTCACAGTCCCCAAGTCCAGAACAGACTATGGGAGGCGCACAGTACTACATAGAGCCATGACTACTTTGAACTCTATTCCATGTCAGGTAACTGATGCAAGCAGTAGAATTAGATTGAAAAATCAGATAAAGATACACCTTATGGAACAGCGGGGACTGTGAAGCAACACAAACATACGCACAGACACATGCATACACACACGATAACATACACACACGTACACATGGATTTTGTGTTGTTGATATGTGGTAGTGGAGTATGGGCCTGAGGGCACACACTTAGTGTGTTGTGAATTCTGTAATGAATGTATTGTAATTTTAAAAAAATTGTATAACTGCCTTAATTTTTCCTGTACCCCAGGAAGAGTAGCTGCTGCCTTGGCAGCAGCTAATGGGGATTCATAATAAATACAAATACGTGGAATTTGACTGCGGTCATAACTCCTGACTGCCGGTGTGACGGTAATACGGTCACCGTAACAGCTGTAGGGAGGAGCCATAGACAGAGAACCACCATCGTGTAGTTTGTCATTGAATTAATCTGTTGCATTCTTATAGCACCTTTCAATGTCTGAATTACTCTTATTCCGTGTTCTCTTTGTGTCCAGTCGAGGAGGAGGAGGGTTCATCGGGGCCCCCCCACCACACCAGGGGCCCCCCATGCACATGAACCAGATGGCTGGCGGGCCTCCTCCGGACATGAGGCCGCCCCACGACATGAGAGGACCCCCCATGGGTGAACCCAGAGGCATGATGGGAGAGCCCCGGGGACCCCCCATGGGTGAACCCAGAGGCATGATGGGAGAGCCCCGGGGACCCCCCATGGGTGAACCCAGAGGCATGATGGGAGAGCCCCGGGGACCCCCCATGGGTGAACCCAGAGGCATGATGGGAGAGCCCCGGGGACCCCCCATGGGTGAACCCAGAGGCATGATGGGAGAGCCCCGGGGACCCCCCATGGGTGAACCCAGAGGCATGATGGGAGAGCCCCGGGGACCCCCCATGGGTGAACCCAGAGGCATGATGGGAGAGCCCAGAGGACCCCCCATGGGTGAACCCAGAGGCATGATGGGAGAGCCCCGGGGACCCCCCATGGGTGAACCCAGAGGCATGATGGGAGAGCCCCGAGGACCCTCCATGATGGAACAGCGGGGACCCCCCATGATGGAGCCCAGGGGACCCCCCATGGAGACCAGAGGTAACCAAATCACAGTCCAATTAACAACTTTTGTTTCATCAGAACAATGTTTCTTTCTCTCTCTTAGCAGACATTTTATAAGAAGCATTATTGCCATAATTTAGACCTGTATGTGCAAAACAGGTGGACAAGCGCCTGTGCTTGGACTAGTTATGTCAGACCAGCAATTAATGAGTAACCTGTGTACTCCTGAGTGGCGCAGTGGTCTAAGGCACTGCATCGCAGTGCTAACTGTGCCACTAGAGATCCTGGTTCGAATCCAGGCTCTCTCGCAGCCGGCCGCGACCGGGAGACTCATGGGCGGCGCACAATTGGCCCAGCGTCGTCCAGGGTAGGGGAGGGAATGGCCGGCAGGGATTGATAGAGCATGGCGTTTGCAACGCCAGGGTTGTGGGTTTGATTCCCACGGGGGCCAGTATTAAAAAAAAAAAATTTATTCACTAACTGTAAGTCGCTCTGGATAAGAGCGTCTGCTAAATGACTAAAATGTAAATGTAAAATGTAACCTCATGAGGAATGGCTGTTGTTTCTGAAGGTCGGGACCCCAGAGCGGTGGACCCCCGTGGACCAGCGTCGGGCCAGAGGGTTCCCAATGCCCAAGGAATGCAGGGCCCCGCCCCTCACTCCATGAATCCTAACGCCACTCCACCTGCCAGACCGGTACGGCCTACCTACAGCTAAGTCTTTACTACATTAGATGTTATGTCAATGAAAACAGCTCTAATAACTGTGTGTTTGTTCAGGGTCCTGGTGTACCACAGTCCGGAGATAGCTTCAGCCCAGGGCATAGCCAGGTGACCTCACAGGACCATGAGAAGGTATGTGTGGCATGTCACTATTGGTTCACAATGAACTTTCAGATTGACATAAATGCCTGACTAGATACTAAAAGATAATGGCTCAGATTGTCTGCTGTCTAGAGAAACTGGACTATCAAGGTCTGCACTACATTCCATAGTTATTCTATGGAAAAATCTGAACATGTTCACTGTAAACTAGTTTTAGCTGATAACTACACTGCTCAAAAAAATAAAGGGAACACTTAAACAACACAATGTAACTCCAAGTCAATCACACTTCTGTGAAATCAAACTGTCCACTTAGGAAGCAACACTGATTGACAATACATTTCACATGCTGTTGTGCAAATGGAATAGACAACAGGTGGAAATTATAGGCAATTAGCAAGACACCCCCAATAAAGGAGTGGTTCTGCAGGTGATGACCACAGACCACTTCTCAGTTCCTATGCTTCCTGGCTGATGTTTTGGTCACTTTTGAATGCTGGCGGTGCTTTCACTCTAGTGATAGCATGAGACGGAGTCTACAACCCACACAAGTGGCTCAGGTAGTGCAGCTCATCCAGGATGGCACATCAATGCGAGCTGTGGCAAGAAGGTTTGCTGTGTCTGTCAGCGTAGTGTCCAGAGCATGGAGGTGCTACCAGGAGACAGGCCAGTACATCAGGAGACGTGGAGGAGGCCGTAGGAGGGCAACAACCCAGCAGCAGGACCGCTACCTCCGCCTTTGTGCAAGGAGGATCAGGAGGAGCACTGCCAGAGCCCTGCAAAATGACCTCCAGCAGGCCACAAATGTGCATGTGTCTGCTCAAACGGTCAGAAACAGACTCCATGAGGGTGGTATGAGGGACCGACGTCCACAGGTGGGGGTTGTGCTTACAGCCCAACACCGTGCAGGACGTTTGGCATTTGCCAGAGAACACCAAGATTGGCAAATTCGCCACTGGCGCCCTGTGCTCTTCACAGATGAAAGCAGGTTCACACTGAGCACATGTGACAGATGTGACAGAGTCTTGAGACGCCGTGGAAAACGTTCTGCTGCCTGCAACATCCTCCAGCATGACCGGTTTGGCGGTGGGTCAGTCATGGTGTGGGGTGGCATTTCTTTGGGGGGCCGCACAGCCCTCCATGTGCTAGCCAGAGGTAGCCTGACTGCCATTAGGTACCGAGATGAGATCCTCAGACCCCTTGTGAGACCATATGCTGGTGCGGTTGGCCCTGGGTTCCTCCTAATGCAAGACATTGCTAGACCTCATGTGGCTGTAGTGTGTCAGCAGTTCCTGCAAGAGGAAGGCATTGATGCTATGGACTGGCCTGCCCGTTCCCCAGACCTGAATACAATTGAGCACATCTGGGACATCATGTCTCGCTCCATCCACCAACGCCACGTTGCACCACAGACTGTCCAGGAGTTGGCGGATGCTTTAGTCCAGGTCTGGGAGGAGATCCCTCAGGAGACCATCCGCCACCTCATCAGGAGCATGCCCAGGCGTTGTAGGGAGGTCATACAGGCACGTGGAGGCCACACACACTACTGAGCCTCATTTTGACTTGTTTTAAGGACATTACATCAAAGTTGGATCAGCCTGTAGTGTGGTTTTCCACTTTAATTTTGAGTGTGACTCCAAATCCAGACCTCCATGGGTTGATACATTTGATTTCCATTGATCATTTTTGTGTAATTTTGTTGTCAGCACATTCAACTATGTAAAGAAAAAAGTATTTAATAAGATTATTTCATTCATTCAAATCTAGGATGTGTTATTTTAGTGTTCCCTTTATTTTTTTGAGCAGTGTATTTTGAAAGATTGGACTTTCCTTCTCCAGCTAAATGCTATGCTTTTTGCGGTCTTTGGTTCTCACATTACTGTTAATATCTGATCTGAGAGCAGTGTGGTTCACCAGTCTGTCTATGCTGTTCTTCAGGCCGCCTTGATCATGCAGGTGCTGCAGCTGACCCCAGAACAGATCGCCATGCTGCCCCCAGAGCAGAGGCAGAGCATCCTCGTCCTCAAAGAGCAGATCCTGAAGACCACCGGGACGCCCTGAAGACCCCCCCCCCCCACCCCCATACACACACACACACCCATAGGCTCAAGGTAAGAGATGGGGTTTGTTCACAAGGATGTAACGTTGTAGAACATATATGATGGACAGGGAAGATAAACAGGGCATTGTGGCAGCTCTATTCATTGTATTTCTATCTGAAATGTTCAGAACAATCTCACGTCACTGAATATACCATTTAATAATATGCCATTTAGCAGACGCTTTTATCCAAAGCGACTTAGTCATGCGTGCATACATTTTTTTTTTGTGTATGGGTGGTCCCGGGGATCGAACCCACTACCCTGGCGTTACAAGCGCGGTGTTCTACCAGCTGAGCTACAGAGGACCACGTATTTGGTTCTCTCAAGTGGGGTAATTCTCCCTTTCCATGACGAGTGATGCGAGATTCCATTTTCCTTTACGCTGTCTGTCTTCTCAGTGGAGATGTCAGCCTGTATGCTTTGCATTGTGTTGCTCACTTGTGGAACACCCTGTAATTAATCTGCACATGATCTCCCTTGAGAATACTGACCCTTCCTGGTTGTTTTCAAGACTGTGACACAGGACCCCGACACCCCTGTCACCTCGATGTTGGATCGATCAGAAGATGTCACATCACTTCAAACATTTTGTAGATTGTTTTGTATTATATGGTCTGTTTTTTTAATGGAAGGTTGAAGTGAGTGTTTGTGATTTGAAGAATGTCTGTTAATCTTTTGAAGGGGAACATGTCAAAGTTCAACAGAGAAGCGTTGCAGAGTGTTACATGATGGGTTTTCATACTGTCTTTTCAAAAGCCCAACCTTTTTCATTTTGTGGCTGGAACCTGTTGTTGCATGTCTGGATATTTGTTCAATTAAATAAAAATGTCAGATACTGTTCCCAAATTTTTTCAGTACTGTATTTAATTCAGATGGGATGTACAGGATTACCGGTAGTGTCATTGTAGACTACAATAAAGTTATCTAAAAGAAACAAACAAGACATAAAAAATCATGTGAAAGAATTGTGTGGGGGGTGCGGGGAGGGAGTATTGCCTGTTACATAACTGCAAGGAAAGTACCTTTGTACACATCCTTCATAAGATCATCACTCCTATCTGATCTCGAACATACTGACTGGCAATGCCTCACCCTCATTTCCTTCCAGTCTGGTACATGTCATCATTTCCAAGGAAATTGAGATTGATTATACTGTAGGGCTTTAACGTAGGGAGTATTGCTGTAGTTTCTGTCTCTGTAACTACACACCTTGGAAGCACAAAACAATGCTTAGGCTTAAGCATCTAATGTGGGTGTATCAAAGTTATCTTGCCCAAGCTACCATTTTTGTAAAAGCAAATTAACCATTATTGTTTGCACATTGGCGAAGTGTACATTTGTTACACCCCCATTGAGTAGTATAGCAATTGCCCCCAAGAAGATGTACTTTGATTTCTCTGCTATCTAGATTATTCTTATTTCCCTTATCAAAATCGACCAATAATTAGATCACAAGTGGGGGGCAAACAAAATCCAATGGTTGGCCTGGGCAACATGTATAACACCACTCCGTCATCACAGGTAACCTACCAAACCACTCCCTATACTTAGTGAATATGTTACTCCTCCATGTGTCATTTAATAACAATAATCATATTAACAAGATGAGCTATTCTGTACAAAGCTCTTAATAACTGTAGTTGCCTTCATACATCCTGATCATGATTCATTGAGAAAAGCAAAGGAGCCAGCCAATCCCTGAGTAGTGCTGATGTAACAAAGCATTGTCTCTGTGTGCAAGACTTGTCAGTTTTCTGTGGAAGGTATTCAAGGGCCGATACACACCCATCTAGTCACTGAGGCAGCCAGCTTTCAATCCAATACGTTTTTCCGCCAACTTTAGCATGCCCCCAACTTTTTCCGACTTTTCTTCATATCTGAAAGGTAATTGTGTATTTTTGAAGGCGCTGACGGAGGCTAACTCCACCATGGCTCGTTCGCCAAAGCCTATAGGGAAATGAATGGGTTTTTTCTAGCTGGCTAGCCAGTTCAAATAATTACCAGAACATATCTGTCGTTTTGAGTTAAAATGTAACCAACTTTTTATTAACCATAACAGGAAACTTAACACATTAGAAGGTCATTATTTACAAGTATGGCGAGCTTCTAACTTACTGTGAATGTGAACAAATGAAAGCAGTGCATTGTATTTTTTCCTATCGGAGGAATTTAGAAATGGATCAATAGAGAGCAATAATAGTGGCTTCTAATAGTGGCTCCACCATGGTTCGTTGGCCAAAGCCTATGGGGAAATTAATGGAGTTTTTGGATAAACGCCGAAAATAAGGTCTGTGGTAAACACAGCCTTTGGAGATCTTATACGTTTTGTTCTATGAGATAATCTTCATCAGCAAACATCACTTTTTGTGAATTATGAAGGATTTATGTAATAAATAAAATAATTACGACAAAGCACATTAAGGCTTCCATATTCATAAAGGTCATGTTAACTGACTGATATTATCTCATAGAACAAAACATATAAGATCTCATAAGCCTGTGTTAACCTCAAACCTTATTTTTGGCGTTTATCCCAAAACCCCATTCTTTCCCCATTAATTTCCCCCATAGGAATGGCTGACTGAACCAGAGGTTTAACAAAGATTTGTATAACTAATCCAAGATGGACCAGAGCCTGTCGTTTCCAATGGGAAAAAATTAGTCATAGTGGGCAGAACAAGGAAGGAGGTGGGCAGGGTCAAGCATGAGCTAGCGAGATCCTATTGGCGCATTCTAACAGACATTTGCATATTTCTGTTAGGGAACGCCTACTTTGTGAAGTGCGCGTGTGCAATAACTCAATTCACCTTTGGGCTCCTTCTAAACAACATACTTTTTTGAAACTTTGGCAAAGGGTAAAGTCTACAAAACTTAGTCCACTCGGTTCGTAACAGATTATAGTTTTGGGAACATAAAACTATTGAGATCAAATGTTTCATCGATGAGAAAATGTGCAGAATGTCGGACAAAATCTATCTCGTTCCATCTTCTCCCACTGCCGGCCACTGGGCTTCATCTCACTACCATATTTGGTAGTGAGTGGAAATGCCAAGCGAATGCTTCACATTTATACATCTGGTGAAATATCTGTCTCATTGTTCTATCTGTGGGTTTAATGTCCGGTTTTTAGGACTACAAACTGGCAAGCTCAATGCTGCTTGCAGCATCAGGTTACCATGACAACAGTCACAACAACATGGTCAAAGTTGAATGTCTCTTGCTCAGTTGCTGCCTAAGTAATGGCTATATAAATGGTGAATGCCGACAAGAAAGAGGTAAAGATGGGGCCATTTGAAAGGGGATCATACAGACATTGCACAATTGTTTTTACAGGCAACATACTGTGAATCCTATGTAAAATAAGTATTAGACAGCGTACCAGGATCGGTCATCATCCATTGTGTTCAGATGAATGGTCTAAAACATCTCTGTTGCAAACATTTTGGAAGAGCAAAGAACCAGCTTTTCCTTAATGGGGAGCAGATTAGACATTGTTTTGCTCAAAAGTTCTCCTTGTTGAAGTAGAATTTGGTCTTTCGGGGATCGACGTCCGTGTATTTGACACATTTCTTTGACAAGACTGTAGCTAAGACTGCAGGGCCACACAAGAACGTGCCCACCACTGACCTGTGGACATTGATAAGAGACCAAAATATATAGTAGTTTAGCCAATGTAGGGTACACACCAAGCTATATGTTTTAGAAGTAATACCCCTGCTATTAACTACCAACTACACTGTCCAAAATTGATTTATAAGGGAATACTGTCGTGCCAAAATGTGTTGTAAACAAACTTACGTCGGATTCTCTTTGCGCACTTGTTCAAACTCCTTATCCCAGTTGGGCCTGCCATAGTTGGTTTTCTGCTTCAGACCAGTGACCACATCCGTGTCCTCATCGGCATGAACCATCACATGAGTTGCCTATGGGGAAGAAAGATAGTGAACAGACGCTACCACAACTAGTACATGTCTCACAGTGGAATACGGTAATAAAGATTGTTGGTGGGTGTATGTATGCTGCCTCACGTACATGGCTCTGATCCCATCCAGTGAGGTAGAGTTTGTAGGTGAGAAAGTCTCCCATGCCTCTTTCCTCCATCTCCCTCTCCAGCACCTGCAGCAGATCTGCAAACCACTCAAAGGCATGCGTCTCCCTGCACAACCAATAGAAGTAGATCTGCAACCAGGAAGTAAACATGAGAATGTGATTTCAAACAAAGGAATACCAAACGCATAACATGCCATGCTGGCAATAGTCCGTGAAAAATGTTAATGTTCACATAGCAGGAAACCAAGGTTTGCTTGACTTTTTGCGTAAGAAACAACAAAAAAGACTTGCAGGTGCATCATGGAATCTGTCCACTTTGTAAACATGCTAGACTGGTTAGCAGCACTAAAGCTGTCTGGTTAGTCGCTTCAATGGAAAGCCATAGAGTATCAATGTATTCCCTACCTTTCTGGTGCGTAGCTTGGGGTTGGAGTCTTTGAATTTGTACCAGATGGACTTGAGGATGGAGGCGAAGGGGGTGACTCCAATGCCAGCGCCAACCAGCATGGCGACCTCGTAGTCAAACACATCCTCACTGGCTGTACCAAACGGTCCGTCCACACCCATTCTGAGGGACAGGTCAAAGGTCAAGCAATGGCAAACAGGAAGAGAGGACAGAAAGATTTGACCAGCTAAACCTAATTCCTATGCATTCAGGAATGGTTTCCAATTTGAAATCTGTGCATGTAACTTGGACTTATCACAGAAATCATGCATTGATGCACCTTATCCACTGAGATTAGGAACATGCTGCTACAGTATAAGCCATTGGCTGCTTTTCTATAAAGAGGAGTAACTTACTTGGGTCCCTCAGCCCCCTCAGGAAGCTGCTCCACAATGCTGATGAGTTTCTGGGTCCAGTCCCCCACGGAGCGGATGTGCACGCTGAAGAAGTCCTCCTCAGGGGCCGAGGTCATGGTGAAGGGGTGCCACTCCAGCTGGGAGATGGCTGGGCAGTTGAGGAAGACATACTGACCCACATCCATCTTGAAACCGTTCTTCACCAGCTGCAGCTCCAACACTTTGGACGGTCGAATAACTATCTGAGAGAGGAGAGTTGGAGAGACAGATGTTGATTATCTGTTTATGGAATGGAAAACACAATTATCATCAATTACACAGAAAAGCTGCTTGTTACTGCAGTGCACACCTTTCTGTATTTGACGCTCTGCATGTAGCGGACGAAGCGCAGCAAGCGTTCGCACACATAGAGGACCATGGGACCGATCACCCACATCCAGGTCTGTAGGGACAAGGGAACACAGGATATATTGTTTCTGAGACAATTCTCTTACCATGACGCCTGGGATTCACATAAGTTATTTTTGGTTGTAGGTGTCATTGAGGAATCGCTTACCTGTGGGAACCCCCCTGCAAACTGAGGGATGGGACACTCCGGAATCATCCCCCAGTCATCTGTCCGATCTTTACAGAAGGTGGTATTATGTGGTGGATCGGTGGTTGTCTGACTTCGCACGATGCGTCTGTAGACAAAGGACAAAGCCATTAACTCTTGATCCAAAACAAATATTTCCACTTGAAATGAATGGGAGCTGGGACTGAGCGAGCCTTACCCGGCTCCATGGATGACCAGCCCAGCGAAGAAGACAATGAAGAGGTGGTGTGTGAACCAGAAGACCTCGAAGTAGCTGCGCCTGATGACCTCCATGGATGAGGTGATCATGAGGATGAGTGACAGCGTGATGATTACGCCTGTGATCCCAGCGATGCTGGTGAACACCAGGAGGGTCGGAGTCTGAGAGAGAAGGAGCCAATCAGAATACACACAAGTCAGTCACATGACCTCTAGGCCTATATAAGACATCTAAAATTACTATGTGCCAGGAGTTTCTTCTGATGACCAGACCTGACTAGGAAACACTCTGGGCCTTAGTTACAATAACATACAAAGCATTATAATACAGTACGATATATATACAGTACCAGTCAAAAGTTTGGACACACCTACTCATTCAAGGGTTTTTCTTTATTTTTACTATTTTCTACATTGTAGAATAATAGTGAAGCCATCAAAACTATGAAATAACACATATGGAATCATGTAGTAACCAAAATTGTTAAACAAATCAAAATATATTTCATATTTGAGATTCTTCAAAGTAGCCACCCTTTGCCTTGATGACAGCTTTGCACACTCTTGGCATTCTCTCAACCAGCTTCATGAGGAATGCTTTTCCAACAGTCTTGAAGGAGTTCCCACATATGGTGAGCACTTGTTGGCTGCTTTTCCTTCACTCTGCGGTCCAACTCATAGCGCTTGATGTTCTTTTGACCGGTAGTATATATATATTCCAATGGCCAACAGCTGCTAGGGTAAAATCTATGGTGGAAAACTATTTAAGGGCCGTCAATGTTTTGACCCCTAGCTGAACCACTCCTCCCATAACAATGAGTGATGTTTTAAACTGTAGTGCTTTGTTTTAATTGTTTGAAACTTTATGTATTGCTTTTTTTGACCAGGTCTCTTGCAAAGGAAATGTTTAATCTCAATGAGACCAACCTGGTAAAATAACAATAAAATTAAAACATTGTAAGCCGTACAGTGGTTGTAGAACGGATTGGGTTCAGGAAGGTGCTGTTGCCCGAGTCATCCAGGCTGGACAGGGCCGTGCTGAGGTCATCATACTCCCCAAGCCTGCTATTGTAGTACCACTCCACATTCAGCAAATGGGCAATTGTGTGAACAGCTGCACCAAAACGAGGAAAAGAAACAGCAACATTTCATGTAGCATTAGGACATAGAATAGAGATTCCTCATTTGTTCAACAGGATCATTCCACCCCCAAATTCGACATCCATTCAGGGCAGTGAAGGTTAATTACTTATGAGACTTTGGACATAAGTCACTGCCTTGATTAGATACCACTGCTACATTCTAAAGAAGAAGTAAAAGCATAGAAATCAAGTCAAATTGGGCTGATAGACACAGTATCTCACCACTCATCTTGGCACAGAGATAATGGCACGGATAATAACATTAAAGAAGTAGTGTTGGAAAGTGGTTATCCGTTCCTCAAGCATTTCAATCTACGTTGACCAATGTACTGGTATTTCAACAGAAGCTGAGGTTTTCAATGACATCCTCAATATACACTATATATACAAAACTAGGTGGATTCGGCTATTTCAGCCACACCTGTTGCTGACAGGTGTATAAAATCGAGCACACAGCCATGCAATCTCCACAGACAAACATTGGCAGTAGAATGGCCTTACTGAAGAGCTCAGTGACTTTCAACGTGGCACCGTCATAGGATGCAACCTTTCCAACAAGTCAGTTTGTCAAATTTCTGACCTGCTAGAGCTGCCCTGGTCAACTGTAAGTTACATTTACATTTACGTCATTTAGCAGACGCTCTTATCCAGAGCGACTTACAGTTAGTGAATACATATTTTTTTTATACTGGCCCCCCGTGGGAATCGAACCCACAACCCTGGCGTTGCAAACGCCATGCTCTATCAACTGAGCTACATCCCTGCCGGCCATTCCCTCCCCTACCCTGGACGACGCTGGGCCAATTGTGCGCCGCCCATGAGTCTCCCGGTCGCGGCCGGCTGCGACAGAGCCTGGATTCGAACCAGGATCTCTAGTGGCACAGTTAGCACTGCGATGCAGTGCCTTAGACCACTGCGCCACTCAGGAGACAAGTGCTGTTATTGTAAAGTTGAAACGTCTAGGAGCAACAACCGCTCAGCCACAAAGTGGTAGGCCACACAAGCTCACAGAATGGGACTGCCGAGTGCTGAAGCGCGTAGCGTGTAACAATCGTTGAGTTCCAAACTGCCCCTGGAAGCAACGTCAGCACAAGAACTGTTCATCGAGAGCTTCATGACATGGGTTTCCATGGCCGAGCAGCCACACACAAGCCTAAGATCACCATGCGCAATGCCAAGTGTCGGCTGGAGTGGTGTAAAGCTTGCCGCCATTGGACTCTGGAGCAGTAGAAACACGTTCTCTGGAGTGATGAATCACGCTTCAACATCTTGCAGTCCGACGGACGAATCTGGGTTTGGCGTATGCCAGGGAACGCTACCTGCCCCAATGCATAGTGCCAACTGTAAAGTTTGGTGGAGGAGGAATAATGGTCTGGGGCTGTTTTTCATGGTTCCCTTAGTTCCAGTGAAGACAAATCTTAACGCTACAGCATAGAATGACATTCTAGACAATTCTGTGCTTCCAACTTTGTGGCAACAGTTTGGGGAAGGCCCTTTCCTGTTTTAACATGACAATGCCCCCGTGCACAAAGCGAGGTCCATACAGAAAAGGTTTGTCGAGATTGGTGTGGAAGAACTTGACTGGCCTGCACAGAACCCTGCCTTCAACCCCATCGAACACCTTTGGGAGGAATTGGAACGCCGACTGCGAGCCAGACCTAATCGCCCAACATCAGTATCAGACCTCACTGATGCTCTTGTGGCTGAATGGAAGCGAGTCCCCGCAGCAATGTTCCAACATCTAGTGAAAAGCCTTCCCAGAAGAGTAGAGGCTGTTATAGCAGCAAAGGGGGGACCAACTCCATATTAATGCCCATGATTTTGGAATGAGATATTCGATGAGCAGGTGTCCACATACTTTTGGTAAGGTAGAATAGTACATCTAAAGATACTGGAGGAATAATGTTCCCATGTTCTATCGAAAATGTCACATACAGTGCTGTGAAAAAGCATTTGCTCCCTTTCTAATTTTCTCTACTTTTGCATATTTGTGATACTGAATGTTATCAGATCTTCAACCAAAACCTAATATTAGTGAACAATATGAGTTAACAAATAGCACAACAATTACATACTTCTTTCATTTATTTAATAAACAAAGTTATGCAACACCCAATGCCCCTGTGTGAAAAAGTAATTGCCCCCTTACACACAATTAAGTCAAGTAATCCAGGTCCTGAGGCAGAAAAGCATCCCTAAACTATCACACTACCACCACCATGCATGACCGTTGGTATAAGGTTCTTACTGTGGAATGCAGTGTTTGGTTTTTGCCAGGCATAATGGGACCCCTGCCTCAGGATCTGGACAACTTGCCTTAATAGAAGGAACCATGAATTCAGCTCTGTATCAGATAATTCTACAGGAGAATCTCAGGCCATCCGCCTGTGAGCTGAAACTAAAGGGCAGCTGGGTCATGCAGCAAGACAATGATCCAAAACACACAATCAAGTCTACATGAAAATGGTTAAAAAGCAAAAAAAATACATTTTGGAATGGCCTAGTCAAAGTCCAGACCTAATCCCAATTGAGATGTTGTGGCAGGACTTGAAACGAGCAGTTCATGCATGAAAAACCACACATCACTGAGTTAAAGCAGTTCTGCATGCAAGAGTAGGCCAAAATCCTCCACAGTGATGTGAGAAACTGATCAACAACTACAGGAGTCATTTGGTTGCAGTCATTGCAGCTAAAGGTGGCACAACCAGTTATTGAGTGTAAGTGGGCAATTACTTTTCACACAGGGGCATTAAGTGTTGCATAACTTTGTTAATTAAATACTATTTGTAAACTCAAGTTCCCTTTATTCAATACTAGGTTTTGGTTGAAGATCGGCTAACATTCACTATAAAAAATATGCTAAAATAGAGAATCAGAAAGGGGGTAAATACTTTTTCATGGCACTGTATGTTTTCTAAGAGCTGGGCTGTTTCCTTTGTCCTTCTTGAGTCAGACTTTGTGAGAGCGATAGTCTCTCCAAGGTCAGGATTTCCCCATATAATACAATAGACCTTAAGTCCATATTTACAATTGGCCCAGCGTCGTCCGGGTTTGGCCGGTGTAGGCCGTCATTGTAAATAAGAATTTGTTCTTAACTGACTTGCCTAGTTAAATAAAGGTAAAATAAAATAATAAAATTAGCTTGCCTCCCTTTATCTAGTCAAGGGGTGAAAAAGATAAAGATAGATTTATTATCGCATATGCCTTCACCACAATGAGAAAGTGTCATATTTTGTGGTGACTAAATAATACTGGTAACAATTTCACATAAATCTTACACACTTCATAAGTACTGTCGACAAAAATCTAACTTTGTTTAAGAGTAAGGTATTTATCTGTGCAAAAGGCTTCAGGTTAGGGGTTTTCAGCTGGTTACCTACCAGGAAGCAAGTGTTACATACCTGTCATCAGGCCAATCATGTAGGCCACCAGCTTGTGGAAACTGATATTTTTGTCCAGCTGTTTTCTCATAGTTCGCCCACAGCACTAAAAAAGCAACACAAGAAAGTTCAAGAAAAATCTTAAGGAAGATTACAATCAAAGTCAATTAAAGACCTTTCTCACCTATTGGAAAAACAATTCAACCATACAAGTCTGTTCTGTTATAGGTGTCATCAGACAATATAACTACATAGTAATTTACAGAACACAGGGAATTACAGCCACAATATTCTCTGATGACAAATTAGACACTTGCACAATGAATGTCCCCACCCTGGGCCCTTGTCACTCAGAATTAGTCTTACCATGAAGGAGCCCCGGATGAGAGACAGCAGGTTCCGACACACAGGCAGCAGAATCAGCAGGCAGTTGAAGTTGAGGACGGCTGCAGGGGCTCTGGCCCAAGCCAAGGCAGACTGAAAGCCCAAAGACACCCATGTCAACCTGTGCAGTGTGTTATGCTATACACACCCTCTGTGGCATCTGTCCTTTTATAAAGAATGGTGTAAGCTACAGGTAAAACTCAGTTAAAACTTTGTAATTATATTGAACGAAAATTCTACGGACATCGGAAATTGGATACTTGTCCTATTTAAGTCAAATGCATGCATTATTGAGCACGTAGTATGTTTATATTACCTAAGCCCTAAATAGTATGGTAAGACTCACCCCTAAAATGTGGCGTGTGTAGAAAAACTGATCCCCCAAGTCGTAGAAGAAATAGAACCAAAGGAACAGGAATATGTTGATGGACATCCAGACCACCTGTACGTCCAGCCAGGAGGAGATCATTACCCAAACAGCAGGATCGTGACTATTGTATAGTATTTTAGTCTTATATTTATACTCTTAAAAATAACATATATTTTAGGGTTTCAGTATGGCTAACCCTAGTTATATTATTTTGCGCATTTGGAGAGATATTGCGCATCTGGGTCATCACTCAGATGGGCTTTGTCTGGCAGTCCAGATAACAGCCCAAATAAATGTATCGCATTCATTTACATTATACAATAACTATAGCCTACACTGTCGAAGATGATTAAGGTAATAATCATGTTCTTACCAGTATGAAGGATGACAGTCCATGGTTAATGATCCAGTTGCCCATTTTGAAAGTATTTCGCCATCCACGGGTGACGCTACTGGTCTTTACATCGTTACCTGTCGTTTTTATACAACGTATGTTCACACCCCGCCCATTTAAAGTCAGTCACTAGTCCAAGTTATGACATGAGGAAACGCACAGTCTATACAATTGCATTACTCAACGAGTAAAGTAATCCTTTGTGTTTGTTGAAAGCGAAATGTGAGCATGCCATTCCGCATGTCAGTGGAATGACGAAGAATTGTCTTTTTTTTGACTGACTAGCTGGCTCTTGGGGTCCAAGAAGAGGGTGGATTTTTAGACAATTGAGAAAGAGCCAGTCCGACTATATCTGTCTGCATCTACAGGCCTCACGTTTACGTTCCCATGGCGCTATATATTTTTTTCTGGAAACAATATCAAAGGCTACTGGTAAAATAATGAAAGACAAAATATGATTTATATTACAGCATTTCGTATTCAACGACTTTAAATTCAAGTAACAATGCAGTAGTTAAGGCACTATCTTCATATATTTTCTCTATATAACCCTACTTTCGAAACCAGTGGCGTACGGCAGTTGCGCGGGCCCCGCAAGGTCTGGTTCATCCCCATTGTTTAAGTGAAAGACAGACAATTTATGGCATATATGGCAGCCGGGGAAGTTGAGCCTGCTCTGTGGTTGTGTCCATTAGCCAGGGGATTATACAGTGCCATGAAAAAGTATTTGCCTCCTTTCAAATTTTCTCTACTTTTGCATATTTTTGATACTGAATGTTATCAGATCTTCAACCAAATCCTAATATTAGATAAAGGGAACCTGAGTGAACAAATAACACAACAATTACATACGTATTTCATGTATTTAATAAGCAAAGTTACGCAACACCCAATGCCCCTGTGTGACATGACTCCAACCAAACACTTCCTGTAGTTGTTGAACAGTCTCTCACGTCGCTGTGGATGAATGTTGGCCCACTCTTCCATGCAGAACTGCTGTAACTCAGCGATATTTGTGGGTTTTCAAGCATAAACTGCTCGTTTCAAGTCCTGCCACAACATCTCAATTGGGTCTGGATTTTGACTAGGCCATTCCAAAACGTAAAATGTGTTGTTTTTTAGCCATTTTCATGTAGATTTGCTTATGTGTTTTTGGAGCATTGTCTTGCTGCATGACCCAGCTGCGCTTCAGCTTCAGCTCACAGACTGATGGCCTGACATTCTCCTGTAGAATTCTCTGATACAGAGCAGAATTCATGGTTTCTTCTATTAAGGCAAGTCGTCCAGGTCCTGAGGCAGCAAAGCATCCCCAAACAATCACACTACTACTACATGCTTGATCTTTGGTATAAGGTTCTTACTGTGGAATGCAGTATTTGGTTTTCGGCAGGCATAATGGGAACCATGTCGTCCAAAAAGTTATACTTTTGAATCATCTGTTCATAGAACATTCTTCCAAGAGTCTTGATGATCATCCAGGTGCTTCCAGGTCAACTTGAGTCAACTTTTTGGACGACATGTATCAGAGAATTCTACAGCAGAATGTCAGTCCATCCGTCTGTGAGCTGAAGCTGAAGCGCAGCTGGGTCATGCAGCAAGACAATGATAAAAAATACACAATCAAGTCACACATGAAAATGGCTAAAAAGCAACATATTTGAAGTTTTGAAATGGCCTAGTCAGTCCAGATCTAATCCCAAATGAGATGTTGTGGCAGGACTTGAAACTAGCAGTTCATGCTTGAAAACCCACAAATGTCGCTGAGTTAAATAAGTTCTGCATGCAAGAGTGGGCCAAAATTCCTCCACAGTGATGTGAGAGACTGATCAAGAACTACAGAAAGTATTTGGTTGGAGTCATTGCAGCTAAAGGTGGCACAACCAGTTATTGAGTGTAAGGGGGAAATTACCTTTTCACAGAGGGGAATTGGGTGTTGCATAACTTTGTTCATTAAATATATAAAATATTTGTAAACTCAGGTTCCCTTGATCTAATATTAGGTTTTGGATGAAGATCTGATAACATTCAATATCAAAAATATGCAAAAGTAGAGAAAATTAGAGGGGGCAAATACTTTTTCACAGCACTGTATATATATATATATATATATATATATATATATTAAAACAGGTAGTTTTTTTTAAAACTTGTTACACTGGAATAGTAACTTTTGGTCAGGGTGAGCAGAGCGCGAGCCACTTTATTCTATTGCTCCGGGCGAGATGCACTGTGCTGCCTGTGTAAACGCAGCCATAGTGAAAAAGTCAGTTGCGAAACGGTTTTATTTGGGCTGTGATGAGAACAGAGATTTTCTAATCAGGTCACAGTTTTAAACGCCTGGAAAAACTCCTTGCCCTGTAGGGAGGATGGAAACCCTGTCAAACTGCAGTAACCTTGTACTTGTTCATATTCATTCCATTTGAAAACTAGACTAACAGGGGAGTTTCCATTACACAGACAACTGCGATTAGACAATAGAACTAACAGGGCTGCTTAATTTTGGATTTAAAAGGCCTAGGTATCCTAGCCAACCAAAGTTTGAATATAAACCAAATTTGATCACATTCACATTTTCTCTTAACACAATTACATTTGCTTAGGCTATAAATACAGAACGAATGATTTGCAGTTTGGTTGTATTCAGTTAAAAGCCCATCTGTCATAAACGCCATAAATTGACAGTCTTTCTCTTAAACAATGGGGATGAACCAGAAATAACAGTTTTAGGCTAGGTCTACTGGAATTCCTTCCAGTGGCTGTTTTCAGAAAAACATTTTTATATAAAATATATATTTTTAAATCAGCTGCGCAACTTTAGAGCAGGCTCAACTTGCCCGACTGCTCAGTTCACTTGCCCCAGGCAATAGGGCAACCCTTAAGGTCCCTGCTACAACTAGGTTCAGGATTTTGACCTGGTTACCATCAGGAGAAAGACAAAATGGCCCCACCACTCTGGGACCTGTGGTGCCACCTCATGCTTAATTTCCTATCTATAAGGTTTTTTGGAAAGCAATACCATAGGCTACTAGTCAAATAATTAAAGACAAAATATGATCTATATTACAGCATTTTTTATTCAACACATTTAAATTCAAGTAACAATGGAAAAGTTAAGGTACTTAAAACATACTATTGAAACAGATCATTCAAAAAAAGCAGGGATTAATGCACCAATGTTTCAGACATAAGGTACCAATGAGGCATCAAGTTCTTTATATTAAACCATCATTGAAAGTAAAAAGATATGTTCTGAATTGCATTTCAATTATTATATATTTACAAGGACAGTGTGATTACATAAAATCTATTGGCTCTTTAACCCACTTGAACTTCAAAGTGATCACTGTCAGACTCAGCTTGCCTTTTAAACACTGTGTGCAAAGGCAAAAAAAGAAGGGCAAACTGAGCTGCCGGGTACTACACTGAACAAAAATATAAAGGCAACATGTAAAGTGTTGGTCCCATGTTTCATGAGCTGAAATAAAAGATCCCGAACATTTTCCATACGCAGAAAGTGTATTTCTCAACAACAACAAAAACCAAATTTGTTTACATCCCTGTTAGTGAGCATTTCTCCTTTGCCAAGATAATCCATCCACCTGACAGGAGTGGCATATCAAGAAGCTGATTAAACTCACAACCACAGACCACTTGTAACCACGCCAGCCCAGGACCTCCACATCCGGCTTCTTCACCTGCGGGATCGTCTGAGACCAGCCACCCGTACAGCTGATGAAACTGAGGAGTATTTCTGTCTGTAATAAAGCCCTTTTGTGGAGAAAAACTAATTCTGATTGGCTGGGACTGGCTCCCAAGTGGGTGGGCCTATGCCCTCCCAGGCGCACCCATGGCTGTGCCCCTGCCCAGTCATGTGAAATCCATAGAATAGGGCCTAATGAACTCAGTAAAATCATTGAAATTGTTGTGTTTATATTTTTGTTCAGTGTAATAATACAAACCATTCATTACATACAGTGGGTGGAGTACGAGGAAGGTATCTCAGATTTCATCTAACCTTTGTTACATATGGGCGTGCGGATGAAAAAGTGACCTATTGCAACATGTTAAGTTTGTTCATGAAGTAAACCCCTGAGAACGTAAACAGGGGAAGTCCCAGTTTAAAGGGCGAGTCGGTCCTCTAGGGCCGGAGACACTTGGCATGCTTCCCACACACCTGGCCCCACTGTATCTGACCCTGTAATGCTCTCTCAAGGCTGCCTTTGTGCATCACGCAGGCATATCTTAATAGAGTACATTCTTTGGTCTCCCGTGGCCCACTGCCTCTCTACCTGTACAGTAGATGTCCAGTACAAACGGTGCACTCGTCAGTAACCCATTTTCCATTCAACAACAGCGATGTAACATTGTCTATATCATGGCTGATCTTTTTAAGTCCAAGGCTCTGCGTGCATGTGTTATTCTAAAACGAGGAGCATCGATAAAATCACAGCATCATTTTTAAACGCGATTAGCTAACCATTTGGGACAAACTTGTCCTCTGTGCCCCGCAGTGCAGAGCGAGCTGCTCTGTCCGTCCCCTAATCTGCACCACTCACGGTATAACAGTCCTGAGTGTACATAACCATTAGTTCAGTAGCTGGGGCCTTCTCAAGCCGCCTCCATGTCTTCAACGATTGCCGTCTCGTGCTCCCCCAGCTGGCTGGTGAGGTCGGGGGGCTGCCGTTCAGGCGGCTCCAGTGGCACCAGCACCATGGTGGCGGTGGTGGAATAGGAGTTGGGTTGCCCCTCCCCCTCTCTCCCCACGCCCCTCCGACAGCAGCAGACGCAGGCCAGGCAGTCGTGCACATTGTGCCTGAAGAGGCGCCGACACGGGTGGCAGAACTGGTAGAAGAGTAGCATGAAGAGCACAGCCAGGCTGTAGCAGATGAGCAGCTGGGCCACCAGCAGAGGGGCACACACGTACGCGTAGAAGTCCGACTTATAAAAGTACCAGAGGGCGATGAGCACGCCGTTCTCGAGGAAGCGTCCGCTGTAGTATGAGGCCAGGCGGCCCCAGTGCTGCTTCTTCTCGATGAGGTCGCGGTGGGCCAGGTCCAGCTGCACAGCCGACCAGCAGAAGATGTTGATGCAGGCGTACAGGAAGGTGACCAGCGACAGCACCACCGTGGTGCCCAGCTTGCTGAAGTTCTTCTCCACGTTGTCGGGCAGCGAGGCACGTCGCGCCCAGAACTCGGCCCATGGCTGCAGAAAGAAGAAGAGCAGGTTGCCTAGGCCCACGGGGATCACCCAATAGGTGAGCGCGGAGCTGAACAACACCAGGGAGGTGACGCGCGTGGCGATCTCCAGGCCCCGCCACAGGATCATGCAGAGGTAGGCGGCCGGGCGCAGCCGCACCTTGTAGTCGTCGTAGCGGATGTTGATGGCCAGCACGCTGCACACCAGGGCCCCGTAGGTGATGGAGATGAGGCAGATGATCATCAGAGTCACTGGGATGAACACAGAGACAAAGCACTTGTTAGACCCTCCAAACAGCAGCAAAACATACAGCATTCACCATGAATGCCATCAAGAGGACTCTTACGTCTGATAGGGAGGAAGTACTTCTCCTGGATGTTGGCGTACAGCTGCAGGGTTAGCTGAGGGGTGGATCCCAGGAAGGCCTGGATGACGGCTGTGCGTTTGAAGGCGTTCCGGTGCGTCGCCAGCTTGCGCTCCGAGTGGCCGATCTCCCACTCCATGGGCGTGGCCTGGTCCTTCTTCAGCTTGATCTTCCTGGAGATGGTCACATACGGCTCCTCCTCTTTACCTGCCTTGAAGTAAACCACCAGAGCCTCGAAACACCTGAGGAGGACAGGAGAGAAGAGTAATACCACAGCCACCAGAGGGCAGTACAGGCTAACAAAAAAACAAAGATTGTTTCTTTACTTTCAGTCACATGATTTGCAATAAATATTACATTTTCCTTCACATTTTAAAATTAAAACAAAAAAATGCGACATTGCTATATGGCTCCACCAGAGGGCAAAAAATAAACTGTGACAGCCTTTGACACTGCGTGTACAAAACATTAGGAAACACCTGCTCTTTCCACGACAGACTGACCAGGTGAATCCAGAAAGCTATGATCCCTTATTGATGTCACTTGTTAGATCCACTTCAAATCAGTGTAGATGAAGGTTGAGGAGACTGATTAAAGAAGGATTTTTAAGCCTTGAGACAATTGAGAATGTGTGCCATTCAGAGGTTGAATGGGTAAGACAAAATATTTAAGTGCCTTTGAACGGGGTATGGTAGTAGGTCCAGACATCCAGCCAACTTGACACAACTATGGGAAGCCTTGGAGAATTAATGGGCCAGCATCCCTGTGGAATGCTTTCGACACCTTATAGTCCATGTCCCAACGAATTGAGGCTGTTCTGAGGGCAAAAGGAGTTGCAACTCAATATTAGGAAGGTGTTCCTAATGTTTTGTACACTCAGTATTTGTGCGTTCCCTTCCGCTTCACAGAGGAAAATAGTTTGTGTTCACTGACAGAAAGACATTAACACCGCACACAAATAGCACAGACATGTTGTTTAGCACTACTTTCATCTGCTTATGTTGAGTAGTTCCAGTGCAGTGGATAGCTGTACACATGGCACTCCATAACGCCTAACGCAGGGATCATCAACTAGATTCAGCCGCGGGCCGTTTTCTTCTTGAGCGGATGGTCGGGGGGCCGGAACATAATTACAAATCATTTGTAGACTGCAAATTGACTGTAAGAAGCCCAAACAGATTGTTTTAGTCAATCATATCATTTCAAACTTTGCTTACATTTGTATACAATCATGTCTCTCTAGTATGCATGGGAATACTTAGGAACAGATTTCTTAAATTAAAATCTCATGGTGTTTTCTTTACAGCCTTATGTCCAACAATGAAAATTCCACACAAAATGATTTATTTTTTGCTCAGAAAACTAGGGGGGACAAATACAACCACCCGCGGGCCACCAGATGGGGAACCCTGGTCTAAGGTATTCACACTCAACCAAGTAAATCACAGTGTTTGTCTTTCAGACCAAAACATCTACTTTGTACATGGGCTTAAGGGAGAGAACACAGACAGGCTAGCTACTAGGATCCTCTTCCTGCCAGCTCAGCTGTGGGTTGCTACAGGACACCACATTCAGCCGTCATCCATTTTCAGCCAGTGTTTTTTCAGCTGTTGTGGTGCTGGTGGAATCACGTTCGCTGTGACCTTACAGTGCACAACCAAAACGAGAGCATCTCGTCTTTGACTTCAACTCTCTCTGAACCGAGAGACATTAGGGAGGGGCACAAGCCACCTCTTATCTCTCCAGTGGTACTACTGGTAGCCTACGCAAAAGAATCGAGGTCATCTTGTCTGAGAGTTTTATGTTTGGTCTACAGATGGGAGGTGGTAGCGGTCACAAGACTATGATTTACTGATTGATTTCCAGGGAAGCTTGGCATCATAATGCAGCTGAGAATGCGTGCTGGAGTCAGTCCAGCACTTCAGGTTCTGAAAAAATTACTAAGAAACACAATACATTTGACTTAGAGGAAAAAGCACAGCTGGAGAAAAGGTTGGCTGACAGAATCATTATGCCTGATGTCCACAGCAGCATCTAATGGTACCATCAGGTGAAGCAAAGTGCCTACTTCTGGGTAATTACTCCCTGGCCATAAAAACCACTTTGCTCTCTGCTTAGGATACCAGTACTTGTAAAGAGCACAAAGTAAAACACACATGCAATAAGGAACTACCTTAAAAAGGGGCAATCTGCAGTAGCTTCATCCATTTTTGCACTTATTAAATTAATGATATGTAGCCTACTGATTCTTGAAGAATATAACTTATAAATGCCTCATGAGCTTAACTCAACTGTCACACCCCAAAACATAAGTTTGTTTTACTCCAATGTAAATAAACACTGTATAGCTTTATAATTTGTATATCATGGATGGTCAAGTCCTTGCATCCATAGCTCAGTCTATGAATCTGAGTGGTTACATTTCTCCAGCCTCATCCCTCAGCTTTTTAACGAAACGGTGGTGGTGAGATCGCTTTGTTATTGTTTCAACTGCTGATTGCCACTTTAAGAAATGGGCTGCAGTTCAAGCAACCATTGCTGTTATCTTTCATCAGAAAAGGCGCAAGGGTGGTTTCATCACCAGGAAATCATCTCAGCATACTCCTTGAGATAACAAGATGAGAATCTCTAGTCTGTTAACAACCGTGCTTTGGCATAACACCCACAAGATGCATTGGTGCTAAGGACATCAAGAGACCAACCTTTCTTCACTGTCTGTAAACATCGTTTCAGTGTTGCATGCTGGGACAGGGACAGTTCTATCAACTGTAAGTATGTAGCTACTTCTGCCTCGGGAGAGGAATTTATTCTCTCAGAGACAAGCTGTGACAAGGTCCACTCAAGCAGGGAACCAAATTACCACCACAGAGACTCACAGTTGGCCATGTTACACAACATCTTGTCAACAGATTATCTAAGATATAGATTGAAAAACACATTCATATAGTGAAACTGTACTTTGCGTTAATTTAAAGACCTGTGAGGAACAAGACAAACACTACCCTGTGAGCTAGAGTCCTTGCCTATTACAAGGTAAAGCAAGCCGTGCAGCCAGCAGCATTTCAACCCTTGGTCAGAGTTGCTAAGAAACATGCAATATCGAATTGCGCCAACACAGATGATGATCTGTGATGACATCAACCAAGCTCCACAGGAAGTGCACAACTGATAAAAAAAAAAAGTTTTATTATTACATGCACCAGATAGGTGCAGTGAAATGTGTTATTTTACAGGGTCAGCCATAGTAGTACCTCACCCCTGGAGCAAATTAGGGTTAAGTGCCTTGCTCAAGGGCACAGACAGAATATTTTCACCTTGTATTCGAACCAGCGACCTTTCGGTTACTGGCCCAACGCATTAACCGCTAGGCTACCTGCCGCCCAAAGATCAACCCAAAGGTCAGAGGGGACAGTGGGAGTAACTGTAACTAATGCACAGCTGTTTATCTAGTGTAGGGGTCTCCAACAGGTCGATCGCGAGTTACCAGTACCTCGCAGCCCACCTATGAGTAACTCGCCAAACAATTCTTAAGTATAGGCAATTTTCACGTTACACCGCAAACTGACATAAACAAATCTCACAAGTAGGCTATCAGACACAACAAGCTCCCATCTACTGTCTAATCAACGCAACATTATCCCTTTCTGTGTGCGCTTGTTCATCATTCCGTGTGTAGCCAGTAGATGTGATAACTGTCTTGTGGGTTGACAGAAATACTTTCCCCAAAACTTTATCAATTAAATGTTAACTACAAAGTAGGCTTACCTGGCAGAAGTATACCATGAGTAAGTTTATAATTTGTATCTATTATTTGTTCTTTGGAAACTTTGCCATGAAATGAGCAGCGGCAGTACAGAACCATCGCTAGACCAGCCCATTACTCACTCACTAGAGGCACAATTAAGAGCCAGATGCGGAATTAAAGGGGAACATCCAATTTAGTTGTTTCTCTATGAACATTTGTAATTGTAAGAGTTAAATGTTCCCCTTTATAAAACAAAAAATTTAATAAAAACATAACATAATAAAATCACATTTTATAGGCCCCCCTTAGAGTTGTTTATTAACCATTCTTTTACCACTTTATCTTGTACACTATGGACCTGGGGAAGAGTTGCAGGGGAGAGGAGAAGAATGTGCCAATTTGAAAGCTATAACAAAAAAAGTGTCGCTCGCACGTTTCATTTTTTAAAAGTAGCTCTCATGCCACAAATGGTTGAAGACCCCTGATCTAGTACATCTGTTTGACACAGTTATCCATCGCCTTAGAAACAAAATAGGGTGAGGCAGGAAAACAAGTCAGAAGTTAATGATATGAAGCTTCCTGTCCAAGGGACATCCCCAGACAAGCCACCCTCCAGAGTATAATTATAGAACTGTGTAGCTGTAGCACAACAACCCTGAAACCAAACCTTGATCTAGTTCTACTGAAAACTGAAGGGCTGCTTCTTACGGTTTAGCACTGCTATAGTGAGGGAGAGGGGGAGCAGGGCTGTAAACAGTGTGCCAATGTCATGTCATGTGCTGGCTTGGCAAATGCCTGCTAGCCAGTCACTTGATTTGTCATAAACAGGGGTACTCAAGTACTATTTGAGGAGGTCCGGTCACACAAATTTCCTCGGTGGCAAAGGTCTGGATGGATAATGTAATTTATCGGCACAGTAACAAACCCCCACCTTGCAACCTCAAACGGTTCACTCCCCTCTTGTTGGAGGAGAGAAAATGTTAGTTTTAAAGCTAATTTCCCACAGTTCTACACATTTTGCATAAAGAATATATTTTTTTTGCTGTTTTAAAGCTCATTTCCTGCAATTCTACGTATTCTTCCATGTCTTATGTGTGTTTATATTATACCACGGGTCGAAGCCCAACAGAGTAAAAAAAAGTACAAAATCTTCCTTTTCGGGACCCGCGGTCCTAATTGACCCCGCTCTGGGTCCAGATCCAGTCCACCAGTTGAGTATGGGGGCCATTATGTGTGCAGCCAGTGCAGCCAAAAGAGATCATGCCAAAGTTGCCCTTTGAATTGACAAGATATGCACTGTAGAAGTAAGGTATTCTGGGATGTATTCTAATCTTAGTCTTACAATATATACAATCTTTAAAACATTTAAAAACATTGACAGTGTGTTTTCATGCAGTAAATCTGCTACTCTAGAGGAATCCCGAGGGATATGACACAGGTCACTGCTTCCACATCCCAGTCAGAGACTCCACTAGATATTTGAATACTTGACACAGTGGTTTCTTCCACACATGGCTGATAGTCACCCTTCACTAAATGGATCACATTCACCTCACAGATTCAAGGCAGTTTCTTGTTGCGGAAAATATTAAATGCAGAACGACTATAATGAATTATAGGAAACACTGTTATTCTGCTTTTCTGGGTCTTTTGTTATCTGTAATGTTATCCATTGTAAACTATATGGAATGGTAAGCCATGCAGAAGGCCTACTTCATAAAGTGTTAAAGGGCCACACCTTCGGCTCTCTACAAGGCCTACAGTGTACAGCTGGGATAATAAACCAACAATTATCAACACCAACCACACCGATAACTTATCGCAGGCATTTTGTTGATATCGTTCATTGCGATAAGTAGCCTATACTAGAGAAATATGATGTTTGAAATTAAATAAGTTTGCTAATATGGGTGATTGTTAATGGGACAATTGATGGCTACAATCATCAGACTACTAGTAGTTTAAAAGATAAAAAAAAATAATCTGTTCACATTAGTGTTATATACTTGTCGTTCTATTTATCGTTAACACATAAATTCATACAATTTATCGTGATATGAATTTTTTTCCCATATCTTCCATCTCTACTAAAGTGGATCAAATTGAATTAAAATCCAAGGTGACAAACCAAAGTTCACCAACAGTGTCACTCAAGACATGCTTAGTTTCAAAACATCTACCAAAGACTCCACTTTGACTTTATTTTGCCAGTGACTAATGGCTCACGGTTTGTTCAACAGGTCTAGTTAAGAGTGATTTGTACTTAAAAGGATTAAGTGAGGGGACTTTCAGTGTTAGAGCAGCAATGGAAGCCTTCAAAGTGTGGGCATTTCACACCAAAGCAAAAATCTAATTTCAGCCAATTAGATATGTGAAACAAAATAAAGAAAAGACACACCCATGCATTTCTGTATACCAATGGCATTGTCCTCAAATGAGGTCCCACTCCTTATAACTTGTCACTTAGTAGCAGTGACAGTTCAAACCCAATTATAAGTGGGTTGACACAAAGAAGCAGCTGTATCTACAGTAGGCTACACGAGTCACGTCTGACAAAGGTGTAAATGAGAGGGTCTATCAGAACGTTGACCCACTTCACATCTGGTCAAACAGGTTTGAAGAGGCAAGAAAACAAACAGCCAAATGTATAGGATAACTGAGTAAACATTGTAGAGTGTTTCTTAGTAGGCCTACAGTACTGTAGCGGGAAATAAAGAACAGTTCACTGAGGACTCAATTATATGAACCTTCGGTAACGAAAAAAAGATTGCAGTCAGAGTGCAGTATAACTGCAGTATGCTGCAAATACTGCATCCAAAATAAAAATGTTTTTACTGCAGTAATTTTGCAGTGTAACTGCAGTTATTCTGTCATTACTGCATCCGAAATACCACAGTTACTGCACTTTTACTGCAGTTTCAAAACGTAAATATTTTTTGTAAGGGGGAGTCTAGTGCTCTACACTATGTCAGGCAGTAGAACGCTCATATAAACTCAGCAAAAAAAAGAAACGTCCCTTTTTCAGGACCCTGTCTTTCAAAGATAATTTGTAGATATCCAAATAACTTCACAGATCTTCATTGTAAAGGGTTTAAACACTGTTTCCCATGCTTGTTCAATTAACCATAAACAATTAATGAACATGCACCTGTGGAACGGTTGTTAAGACACTAACAGCTTACAGACGGTATGCAATTAAGGTCACAGTTATGAAAACTTAGGACACTAAAGAGGCCTTTCTACTGACTCTGAAAAACACCAAAAGAAAGATGCCCAGGGTCCCTGCTCATCTGCGTGAACGTGCCTTAGGCATGCTGCAAGGAGGCATGAGGACTGCAGATGTGGCCAGGGCAATAAATTGCAATGTCCGTACTGTGAGACGCCTAAAACAGCGCTACAGGGAGACAGGCCGGACAGCTGATCGTCCTCGCAGTGGCAGACCACGTGTAACAACACCTGCACAGGATCGGTACATCCGAACATCACACCTGCGGGACAGGTACAGGATGGCAACAACAACTGCCCAAGTTACACCAGGAACGCACAATCCCTCCATCAGTGCTCAAACTGTCCGCAATAGGCTGAACTGAGGGCTTGTAGGCCTGTTGTAAGGCAGGTCCTCACCAGACATCACCGTCGCCTATGGGCACAAACCCACCGTCGCTGGACCAGACAGGACTGGCAAAAAGGTGCTCTTCACTGACGAGTCATGGTTTTGTCTCACCAAGGGTGATGGTCGGATTGGCGTTTATCGTCGAAGGAATGAGCATTACACCGAGGCCTGTACTCTGGAGCGGGATCGATTTGGAGGTGGAGGGTCCGTCATGGTCAGGGGCGGTGTGTCACAACATCATCGGACTGAGCTAGTTGTCATTGCAGGCAATCTCAACGCTGTGCGTTACAGGGAAGACATCCTCCTCCCTCATGTGGTACCCTTCCTGCAGGCTCATCCTGACATGACCCTCCAGCATGACAATTCCACCAGCTGTACTGCTCGTTCTGTGCGTGATTTCCTGCAAGACAGGAATGTCAGTGTTCTGCAATGGCCAGCGAAGAGCCCGGATCTCAATCCCATTGAGCACGTCTGGGACCTGTTGGATTGGAGGGTGAGGGCTAGGGCCATAGAAATGTCCGGGAACTTGCAGGTACCTTGGTGGAAGAGTGGGGTAACATCTCACAGCAAGAACTGGCAAATCTGGTGCAGTCCATGAGGAGATGATGCACTGCAGTACTTAATGAAGCTGGTGGCCACACCAGATACTGACTGTTACTTTTGATTTTGACCCACCCTTTGTTCAGGGACACCTTTTTCAATTTCTGTTAGTCACATGTCTGTGGAACTTGTTCAGTTTATGTCTCAGTTGTTGAATATTGTTATGTTCGTACAAATATTTACACGTTAAATTTGCTGAAAATAAACGCAGCTGACAGTGAGAGGAAGTTTCTTTTTTTGCTGAGTTCATAAGCCATTTTACACATTACCCTCTCTCCTTCGAGAAGCATCCTCGCGCACAGTCCCACCTGACAACAGGTATGCTTCCCCAACACCCCGCCCGAGACCACCGGATTGGAATAATCCCACCAATGTAGCGGGAGAGAGAACAGTTGATTGGGGGCAAGATTATGTTGTGCAGAGGAGTGCTCTACTGACTGTACCACGAAAGCCTGGGCCTTGGGCGGCAGTAGAAAACTCATATTACAGTACTACTCAGCACGTTGCTTCAAATCATCCTAGTTGTGGTCCGAAGCTACTCAGCTCTGTGATTATTTGTGGCACTATACCTACCTAATTAACGGGCCCAGGAGTAGTAGATGCAAGAAGAGGACGAGGGGGCGGTCTCTTCCTAAATCTCTATGAATGAATGTCAGCGCCAATTGAGTCAATACAGCCGGCACCAACATGAAGGTGATGGTCAACCCCATCCAGACGTCGTCATCGCTCTTGTGGTAAATGTTGCAAAGCACCGCTGCGCAGACAAACTCAACACAATACAACAATGTGGCCAACACCACGCTGAAAGGGGGCTGAATGTTATTGTGGTTGACAACCAATATGACTCCGTTTTCAGACGCGGATTCCTGGTGGGATTGCTCGACGTCAGAGATCTTTTCGACTTGGTCGCCCTCTTCTTCCATGACTCACTGAACAAAATAATGTCAGACAATGGAGAACTGTAGGGCGAATGGATGGCTCAGTTTTAGGCAGGAAGGTAGGCTATAGATTGCAATGTCACATTGTATCCTTGTCCAGAAACAATGTATCAATTTCTTCAAACAAAGCACGCCAGTTGGTTATCATTCATTAATTTATCAAGTTTGTTAAACAACGTCTTCAAATGTTTCCTTGTGATGTTTGCTTCGGTTGGTCCTGTGCTTTCGTCCACTTTCAACACACAACAACAAGAACTCATTACAGTTCAACATGACGCGCTCTCTTGTGCTTATTTTCATTTCGTTTACAGACAGTTGACACTGTGGCCACTATAAAATAAAAACAGCATCGGATCTCTCGGGTGGTTGTACGTGTAAACACCAGTCGTAATCCCACAATCTCAAAGATTGGCAAAGAAAGTTTCGAACGCAATGCAAAAGCCATGCCGCTGATGTCCGCCTGCAAATGTTGTGCTCAGTGCCCCCATTTGCCCCCATTTACCCCCTAAAGCGACGTCGAATGTTGTATCCTAATCAAAACCGAAACAATCCATCCACTATCGTGTCCCATTGCACATTTGAATGTTTCGTTAGCTCCTCTAGTGATCACGAAAGCAAAGCAGGTGTGTCTGAACATGCCTCCTATTTCTTGTCTATGGAACGTGTTTGTAGGGTAGGGGCAGTGCTACCGCTCCTGGGTCCTAGGGCCAGTGATTATTCTACTTCTATGATATCATGGCGGTCCGCAAAAAATCGTTTTGTGCATGCTGCCACCTACTCTGCTGAATGTACGATCAATCATGATCTGCCCAATTCTGCACTACCAATTTTTTTATATATATAATAATAATAATATATTAAAACCAAATAAATCCCTAACTTCTACCACACCCTCCCCTCCCCAACCCCATTAAACTTTATCTATATCATGCTGAAACACTCCACCCTTAGGATTGTTCAGCATGTAAACAACCATTTCTACAGTAACATCTGTTACCCCCAATATCTCTTTTGCCCGGTCTCCACAATAACCCTCAACCTGGCATTTCTGCTTTCCACAACCTGAGTCATATTGATAACCTTACCAATAAAAGCTATGAAGTCAACTTTATTCATTATCAAAGTGTCCTTTGACACCGCACAACCATGCTAGGACCATGAGAAGCACCAGCTCTGACAGTAGGTCCACTTACTACAGGTACATCCATGTAAGCTCTATCAGTCCACACTGTAGTTCTACCAATCTGTTTTACAGCCTCTGCATATGATACATCATGACTGATCCTATTTCTCTGAGCCTCTCTAGCCTCTCTCTGTACCTGGCATCCACCAAATGCTGCACTGTGTTCTCCCCCACAATTAAAGCACTTAACCTTCACATTGCTTCTACATTCACCGTTATCATGGCACATCCACACTTGGCACATATTTTCTTTCCTTTACACTGAACAGCTACATGTCCCACTCTTTGACATTTAAAACACTGCAGTGCATATAGGACAAATGCTCTAACATTGAAACTAAGGAATCCATACTTTTCCCAGCAAGACTTTCTCAAACCTCAGCATCACTGATAAGCTTTCACTTCTTTGACCCTCTTTCCTACAGATCAACCTTTTGGCCTCAATCACTCTGCCTCCCTTCACATTTTCTTTAATATCATCTGTGGACATAGATATTGGGACCCCAGTGATGACTCCCCTCAATCTAGCATAAGCACCAGGTACATGCCTTTTAATCTTCATCGCATTAAGTTTTTCCATTTTCAGAATGTTCTCTTACTGAGCCTGGCTACCACACAATATTAACAATCTACCATTTCCAATGAACTGAGCTAATTTCACTTCACCTACCTCTTTCTCTCCGGCATTAATTAGTCGGATAGGGTGTAAGGCCTCGATCACACCTACAGCATCATTGCACAAAATGGTACGCAGTATCATCTAGATATGTGTGCAGCAAAAGTTCAACATTCACCTTCTGCTACCATTTCTGTCAAGCCATCTACCGTATGCACCACACAGAACACACTGCAACTGCCTCTGCAACGCAATGCTGCAAGGCAAACGCAGTGTTCCATTGGAAATGAATGTACGTCTGGTGTACCAAACTGCAATGACGCTGTCGGTGTTATCGAGGCGTAAGTGAGCCCCTGTGGTCTCATCAAACACTATCACCACTTTCCACTCCAACACATCATTACTCTTGCTTCCTACCTTGGCCCTCTTTATGATTTCTATACTAGACGCTCCACTGCTTTCTGTATCATGATCTCTCTTCTTCCTATGTATTTCCACTACCAACCATTCCGGTCCTTGACCCTCATCCTCTCGCTCCATCAGAACTGACACCCATATTGTTTGCATTCCAGCACAGCTGTTGCTTCACCAACTTTTTCTCTATTTCCTCTGCCCTACTCACCGCCATTGTCTGTTACTGGCAGGTTGACGTTTATTGGGATGAGCCTTGTCCAATTATATATATGTATTCACTAGATCAGGGTTTCCCAAACTCGGTCCAGGGGCCCCCCCTGGGTCCACATTTTGGTTTTTACCCTAGCACTACACAGCTGATTCAAAGAAGAACAGCCTCCATAGGAATTTACAGTATTTCAATGTAATGTTTCAAGGACATAAAGACCTGCATTTAGCTAAGTATTTATTTGTTGTAGTGGGGACTGCAACATAAGAACTCTATAAAGAAATCCTAAATGTTTTTATATTTTCCATTTTTATTGGGAAGTTATTGGCTTCTGTTCAGTTCATACAATACTATGTATTGTTTAAACAAAATGTATCTTCCTAAACCTGTAGCTGTTGAAATGAAAACATGTTGCTCACCTCTCCACTACAAAGCAACACAATGTAAATTACTATAATGTAAAGCTGGAGAAGATAACGCATGATCCCATAATAATATGTTTTGAATAGTGCTGACCAATTTAAAATCAATCTGATGTAAAGTTACTCCCCCATGAAGCCAGTAAAAAGAAATTGCATTAGAGTCAACTCAAGATCAAGGAATGACTATTTGTACAATAAACCTAGGAACTGGTTCACTCAGACTGTAAAAAAAACACTGGGTTCACTGGGCGGCCAGCTCTAGGAAGAGTCTTGGTGGTTCCAAACTTCTTCCATTTAAGAATGATGGAGGCCACTGTGTTCTTGGGGACCTCCAATGCTACAGAAATGTTTTGGTACCCTTCCCCAGATCTGTGCCCCTTACACAATCCTGTCTCGGCACTCTGATTTAAGGGTTTTTATTAAAATCGTACAAAAACCATACATCATAAATCATTTCATTTCCATACAATATTTGCATCACGCCACACCATACTCACTCCAGTATCCTCTCACCCTCCTCTTTCCACCACCCCATCACTATTAACCAACCAACAACCCCATCATAATAATAAAACACTATGCCATTTAGCAGACACTGTACTTACCGTCATGCTTGCATACATTTTACGTGGGCGGCCCCAGGGACCGTACCCACTACCCTGTCGTTACAAGTGCCATGCTCTACCCACTGAGCCACATAGGACTACGAAAAAACAAGAAAAATTCACATCATATATACCGACCCAACCATATCCCAACAATAATAATCAAAATACTATGCCATTTAGCAGACGCTTTACTTACCGTCATGCGTGCTTACATTTTACGTGGGCGGCCTCAGGGTCCGAACCCACTACCATGGCGTTACAAACACCATGCTCTACCCACTGAGCCACATAGGACTACGTAAAAATAAACAAAAATCACATCATATATACCGACCCAACCATACCCCAACAATAATAATCAAAATACTATGCTATTTAGCAGACGCTTTCCCGTCATGCGTGCTTAAATTTTACGTGGGCGGCCCCGGGGACCGAACCTGCTTCCATGGTGTTACAAGCGCCACGCTCTACCCACTGAGCCACATTGGACTTCAAAAACAACAAAAAATTCACATCTTATATACCACCACAAACTATAACACTAAATACACCTCAGGGGAGCACCTTCCCTCCCCTTTTTTACCAGCCACAAAAACACACCCTCACACCTTCCTCCCTACCCCTCTATACTAAACCTAAACACCCCCCTCTACACTAATCCTAAACCCCCCTTCCACCTCTCCCGAGCAGCATGCTGCCCCCACTTCTTCTCCTCTCCCTTCATCCTCCCCCTCAAATTTCTCTCCACCCTCCTCACTATCCCCTCCACACCCCCTTCTCCCCCTGTCCTTTCCAATTTCTGCCTAGCCTCCCACAAACCCTGTTTAAAGAGGCTTATGAGAAGCCAGAGCAGAAACCTGTCCCTAACCGTCCCCCTCGCTCTCCCTACCCCTCTATCTACCCTAGCCCATGTAACCACAAAATCCCCTCTCACCCTGCCTATCAGACCCTGTGCCCTAGCCCACACTACCCCGGCGAAAGCACAGTCCCAAAAAACATGGCGCACCGTCTCCTCCCCGCCACAAGTTGGCCTTGGGCAGGTGGGGGATCGAGTCAAGCCACGCCCGTACAAGATGGAACGTACGGGCAAGCCCTTATGGAGGCTCAACCAATTCAGGTCCTTGAGCCTGTTATCCAGACCTCACACCTGCACTCCTTCCCAAACCACAGCCGGGATACCCAATACCGGCCCGGGACACCCTCCCCGTCTCACCTCCTCGTACAGGTGCCTGTGATCTAAACCTACTCGGGCTACTTCAACCTCGGGGTGACCACGCAGCCACTTGGCCGCATAGCCAAAGTGCCACGGCAGCTGTTCCGCCCGAGGACCCGTGTTAGTCCACACCATTACGCATTCTCGCCTGGTAAGAGAAAAACACCCGCAGGAGGTAACCAGACGGGTGTATTACCGGATGAGCCAGCTCAGTCAACAAATATGAAACAAAAATTGAATCCAGCTTGAGGGGGAAATGTGGTACCCCCCTACCTCCCTCCCCGATGGGACAGAGCATGCGTACCCTCGCGACATACTCTTGCCTGCCACCCCACATTAACTGGAACACCAGCCTCACTAGAGGCACTCTCAGACTCTCTGGCAATGGGTAGACGTACGCCATATACAATAGTGACGGCAACACATCCACCTTGAGGACCAGGACCTTGCCTATAAAAGACAATGACCTAGCCCTCCACATCCCCACCTTCCTCTGCACCACTGCGATGCACCTGTTCCAGTTCAGCGTCGCTGAGCCAGAGGTCTCAAAAAGGACCCCGAGAATCTTCAGGGCCCCACTACAGAGAGATAACCCCCCAGGCACATCCGTCCTCCCACGCCATCTTCCGAAATACTTAACGGATGACTTAGCGTGATTGAGGACCGCTCCCGACGCTCGGGTGAATTCCCCTATGATGACAAGGGACCTAGTCAGGCACGAGTCCTTGCATAGCAACAAGGAAGTGTCGTCTGCGTACTGGGTCATCTTAACATGCAGCCCACCGCTTCCAGGGATAAGCATGCCCTCCACCCCTGTGTCTGCCCTAATGGCAGCCCCCAGAGGCTCCATGTACAGAACGAAGAGGAGTGCCGAGAGCGGGCACCCCTGCCTGACCCCAGACTCAAGGTCAAAAACGTCACCCATGTGACCGTTTACGTTCACCCGGCACCCTGCTCCGACATATAAAGCACGGATCCACCCTATATACTTCTCCCCAAAACCTAACCTGCCTAACACCCTGAAAAGAAAAGATCTATTCACTCGATCAAAGGCTTTAGCCTGGTCGAGTGCTGCTACCATTAGCGGCAGCCCTCTATCCTCTGCCCAAGCAATGGAGTCCCTGATCAAACTCAGGTTCCACCTAATAGAGCGTCCCTCTATCCCACACGTCTGATCCTCATGGATGACGTAGGGAAGGGCTGTGCGCAACCGGTCCGCTAGAACCTTCGCAAGTAGCTTGTAGTCTACGCACAGCATGGTCAACGGCCGCCAGTTGCCGAGATCTGTGGCGTCCCCCTTCTTGTACAGAAGTGACAGCACATCTACGGCCATCGATCCCCCCGGGACCCCTGTCTCGAGGATGGTCTTCAAGACTTCGAGGACTACTGGCCCAAGTATACCCCAAAACTTGAGGTAAAACTCCGCCGGCAGCCCATCCATCCCGGGCACCTTCCCTTTTCCCATCCTCCTGAGGGCGCTCTCAACCTCTTCTAGGGAGATCTCAGCCTCCATTGCTTTTCTAATGTCCTCCGCACTTGCCGGGACAGGTGTTCTAAAAACACATTCCCCTGCTCTACATCTACTGCCCTCTCTTGAAAGAAACCTTGGAAATGCTCCGTGGTCATCTTGACCATTTCCTCCGTCTCTCTCACTACTCTACCGCTTTCTTCCCTAACCCCATACATTACCTTCCTACTCTGCCTTTCCCTTACAGATTTAAAGAACCCGGCCGAACATGTTTCGTCATGTTCTATAAAACCACTACGCGCCCGCATCAAGAAAGCACGAGCCTTCCACTCATGCACCTCCCTTAGCTGCGCCTTTAGGGCAGCGGATCTCTCCCAGTCTGCCGACCCGCCGAGGTTGCCTGCCTCAAGCTCGAGTTCTAGCAGCCTCTGGATATGATCAACCTCCCTCTTTTCCTCCCTCTTTTTCTTCTTCCACTGTCCTATTATAAAAACCCTCATCCTCACCTTCACTATTTCCCACCACTCTAACACCCCCTCACACATGGACCGGAGGCCTTCAAGCCTCCTAAAAAAATCTACAAAAGCGTTGACGAAAGCCTGCCCATCCAGCACCTCCCGTTCTAACTTCCAGTACCCCCTACCGAAGAGGCAGACTGGTGCCCCCACCTGCAGGAGCACCCCGTCATGGTCCGAAAAGAACACAGGCAACAAGCACCCAGACAACTGACCCAGAGACCTAGATAGGAAAATATAGTCGAGCCTCCGCTCGACCCCCCTAGAGTTGCGCCATGTTGGCCATGCCATCGCCGGAACAGTGTGCAGGCCCCCATCCACCAGACCATGGCTTGCCATTAGTCCGGCGACGGCTCCTGCACTACTATCCCTCCACCTCCCTATATCTACATTGAAATCCCCCCTATCACCAAGTGTCTATTTGTAGCACACAGCGGCTCCAGGCAGTCCACCATCTCCCTCCTGCCCGTTGCCAGCTGTGGCCCGTACACCACAATAACCCTATACCTACTCTCCCTTATCGTGACATCCGCTCCCAGTACCCTACCCTGCATACCCACAAAAGTGCCCTCCACCTTCACCTCCCTATTCCCACACAGAATCCCCACCCCCGATGAATGAACCCCCCCTATGCCCCACACCGACTCTCCCTTGTCCCACTCCCTCCTAAACCTTAAAACATCCCCACTATCCCTTAGGTGAACCTCCTGTATAAAACAAACATCAAAACCCACCCCCTCTAAATACCCCAAAACCGCCCTTCTCCTAACACCCTCCCTTATTCCCCTCACATTTACCGTAACAAAAATAACCCCTGCCATAATACATTTTACACATCACACAATACTATTGTCCCCAACCCAGGATGCCGGAATGGTGTTCGGCTCCCGGGTTCCCTGATCCCTGGGCTCACCACCATCCTCCTCCATCCCATCAACCCCGAAAACAGTTGGAAAGAGCACCGGGGATCCAGCGTCCTCTGCCCCCCCCTGCCACCCCCCAGTGGGTGCCCCCGGCAGTTGTGCATTGGGAGGGGTCAGCGCTGTGGGAGCTTCTTCCCCCACTCCCCCCTTCTCTCCCATTACTCACTTCGCCTCCCCCTCTTCCCCCCCGCCCATCTCCCTCTTCCTATCCCCAGACCGCCCCCTCCTCTTCCCTCTCTTCTTCGTCAAAACCGGCAGCGGGGAAACCATAACCCCCCTAACCCTCAGCTCCTCCCTCATCTCCCTCAGCTCCTCCTCCCCTTCTCTCGCTCTCTTCCTATTCCCCCCCCTCCGGCATCGCCCCTCTCCCCTTCTCCTCTCCTTCCAGGGCTGTGGCCGGCACCTCTCCGACCTCCTTCCGCTCCTCCGCCTCTGGCACCTCCTCTCCCACTCTCCCCTCTGTCTCCGTCACCGTCACCGTACCCGCCTCTCCTTCCTGTCCTTTTCCTGCCGTCCTCTGCCCGTCCTCCTCTCTTCCCGCTGCTTTTCCTGGCACCTCCTCTGTTGCAGCCGGACTTCCCTCTGGCCCTTGGCTCAGGTCTGGAACTCCCTCTCCACCTCCTCCCCCATCCCCCTCTCCTGCACCTGCTCCCCCCCCTGCAGCCGCTGCATACGACTTGTGGCGAGCCGTGCAGTCCCTCCACAGATGTGCTGATGATCCACACCCGTGGCATTTCTTTGGCTCACCACAGTCTTTCGCCTCGTGCGCCCCTGACCCACACACCCTGCACTTCCTCCCTCCACATGAGGCGAAATTATGTCTATACGTCATGCAGCGTCTGCAGAACGGAGGCTGACGGGCATAAAATAATGTCCCCCTATCAGCCCCCAGGGAAAACAGTGCTGGAGGATGAAGGTACCCCCCCAGGCCCCCTGGGACTTCCTTCAATAAGGCCTGGAAACTCCTCCTCCCGTTCCAGAACCCAAGCGTGTCCTTGAGGAGCCTTGCTGAGGAGACATTGTCCATGTACCTCCCCAGAAAGGCCCTCACCTCCTCTTCCTTCACATGCGGGTTAAACATGTTAACCGTCACCACTCTGAAACTGTTCCTCGCCAGGCTCGCCACTTCATAGTGGCACATGGGTCTAGCCTACTCGACCACCTTCAACCTTCCCATGACCTCGTCATGCTTCCCCTCCGTGTGTAGCACGACATCATATGCCCCTTCCAGGGGATTCGCCTGGAGGCACAACACGTCCTTTACCTCCAGCTTCAGGACCCCCAACAGTATGGTCCTCCCGAACGTCTCCCTTCCAAAGGGCTCCATCTCCTTCTCCCTCCATGCGAACCTTATCGCATTAGCAATCCCCATCCTGGGAATCGCCCTGTAGTTCTTTGAATCCGCCATCTCCGCAAGGAGAAAAGCGTTTGCACCTCTGCCCCGACTCTCTTATTTGCAAATTGGCAAGTTCCAAAAATTTTATTTTGCTTGGTTCTGGCCGCTTCTCTGACAGTCGGGAGTATCAAAATGGAAGACTTGTTGAGTTTCTTTGCTTACACAGTAAGTTGTAACTCGTTCAAAATACAGCCCTTTAGCCATGACATTATGAATCACAATTCCTTGACCCGGATTCGAACCGGGGTTGCTGCTGCCACAACGCAGAATACTAACCACTATACGATCACGGCGAGCTACCAGAGCTTGCTTCTTTGATTAGTGCTGACCAATTTAAAATCAATCTGATGTAAAGTTACTCCCCCATGAAGCCAGTAAAAATAAATTGCATTAGAGTCAACTCAAGATCAAGGAATGACTATTTGTACAATAAACCTAGGAACTGGTTCACTCAGACTGTAAAAAAACACTGGGTTCACTGTGCGGCCTGCTCTAGGAAGAGTCTTGGTGGTTCCAAACTTCTTCCATTTAAGAATGATGGAGGCCACTGTGTTCTTGGGGACCTTCAATGCTGCAGAAATGTTTTGGTACCCTTCCCCAGATCTGTGCCCCTTACACAATCCTGTCTCTGCACTCTAGGACAATTCCTTCGACCTCATGGCCTGATTATTTTACTCTGACATGCACTGTCAACTGTGGGACCTTATATAGACAGGTGTGTGCCTTTCCAAATCATGTCTAATCAATTGAATTTACCACAGGTGGACTCCAATCAAGTTATAGAAACATCTCAAGGATGATCAATGGAATCAGGATGCACCTGAGCTCAATTTCGAGTCTCATAGCAAAGGGTCTGAATACCTATGTAAATAAGGTATTTCTGTTTTTTATTTTTTCGGCACAGATTCTAGATTTGGGAACATAAAACTGTATTGAGATCAAATGTTTCATTGATGAGAAAATTTTCAGAATGTTGGCCAAAATCCATGTTCTCCCGCTACCGACCAAAGGGCTTCCTCTCACTACCATATTTGGTAGGGAGTGGAGACGCCAAGCGGAGTGAAATATCTGTCTCATTGTCCTATCTGTACTAATACAGCCTTTTGGCCACTAGAGGCATATATCATTCTCTATATTTTTCCTGATTCACTTCTATTAATCAAAGCCCTGAAAGAAGGAATATGATAATGGCTGCCGATGTCTTCAAAGGCTCTTATTGGCTAATCGTCATCTTTCCAGGGTTTATACAGAGGAAGAGGCGAAGCGAGAGGGGATAACTGGGCCCGAAATCTGTCTTCTCCAGCAGGTGTCAATGACAGAGTGTCGAATTTGGACAAGTGATGGAAAACTTGATAGAAAAGAAAGATCTAGTGTGCCTGAATGATGGCCGAGGGACCAGGAATGATGTAGCCACAGGGAAAGAGTCTGCCTTGGACCTCACTCTGGTATCTAGTGCGATGGCAGGAATATGTGAGTGGGAGGTATGGGAGGAGTCGACAGTAGGGAGTGATCATTACCCCATTCTATGCACAGTAGGCCGAAGGGAGGAGGAGGTGTTAGTGGAGGGAGTAGGCAGGTGGGTGTTTGGAAGGGCAAAGTGGGATCAGTTTCAGGAGCTGAGTGAGCAGGTGATGCCTCGGGTGGATATGAGAGGGGATGTAGATAGTATGAATAACTGGGTGAGAACAGCGTTAGTGGGGGCAGCTACTGAGGCTTTACCTAAGAGTTGAGGGAGGAGGAGGAGGAGGAGGAGGAGGAGGAGGAAAGCAGTTCCATGGTGGACGGAGGAATGTGGGGCAATGGTGAGGAGTAGGAACAGGGCATTTAGAGTACTGAAAAATACGCATAATTTCCAACATCTGATTCAGTATAAGCAGGCCCAGGCCATGGTGAGGAGAACTATCCGTCAGGCAAAGAGGTCATGTTGGCATCGGTTCTGTGACACCATTGGAAGGGCAACACCTGTGGGAGAAGTGTGGGGGATGATTAAGAGGATGAGTGGGATCAGAAGGGAGTGGGATTATCCAGTGTTGACGAGTGGGGAGGACGTGGCAGTAACAGATGAGGAGAAAGCAGAGATGATGGTCAAAGCATTTGTTAAAGCAAATCTGTCAGAGGAGGGGCAGAGGGGGAGAGAGAACACGAGAGAGGGGCATCCTGGAGTGCTGGAAAGGAGGGAGGATGTAAATTATGCGTTTACCAGGGCAGAGGTGAAAAGAGCAATAGGTCACCTGGGAAAGATGAGGTGTGCTATGTTATGTTGGCCCATGCTGAGGCACTGGATAAGGTATTGGTGTTGTACAACAGAGTGTGGGAGGAGGGGAAACTACCAGGCAGTTGGAAGGAGGCAGTAGTGGTACCAATCCGGAAGCCCGGGAAGGATCCAACGAAGCCAACAAGCTATCGGCCAATAGCTTTAACATCACATGTATGTAAGATTATGGAACGTATGATTACGGAGAGGCTAACTTACTTCCTGGAGAGCAGAGGGCTAGTAACGATTAGTTACCGGAGTGTAACTCCAGTTCTATGAGTGGAGCGGAGCCCCATAGGGGAGCTCTGCTCCTATTGGTTTACCCACTGCCCTAAGGCAGCATCAGCCTGAGACAAAATTATGCACACACCTGCAGCCAATAGGAGTACAGGTGTCCCTATAAGAGGGGATGCCTCCCCTCAATCAGCCTCCCGAGATATTTATCTTCAGCGAGACTAGAAAGGGTCGGCAGGGCCTTAAGTCCTATGGGGCTCCGCTCCACTCATAGAACTGGAGTTACACTCCGGTAACTAATCGTTCTATATCATGGAGCTCCGCCCCATAGGGGAGCTCTGCTCCTATTAGTTTAAGGCGGAGCGTAGCGCTCCAAAATGTACTCCCTGCCGAGCCCAACACTTCCCATCGAAATGAAAAGGTCAGGCCTAGCAATGGCTGCAACCAATTCCCGCAGTACTGTAACCACTGTCACCTTACAAGTGTCACAATATACTGCGTCATCGGTTAAAAACCCGCCCCACCTAGTCCAATGGCAACACCAATGACTAGTGGGCAGATCACCAGAATATAAACCATACTAATCTGTACTAGCAGATAGATGGTACCTCATATCCTGTTACAATACTACCGACCACCAATGGAATGACACAAAGTGTCACTCTACATTGTGTACACGGTAGGCCGCCTCACTCAATCAATGGAACCCCAGAGATTAGTGGGCAGATCCCAGAACATGATTCATACTAATCTGAACAAGCAGATAGATGACGTCACATTCCGTCAAATTAACATGACCGGTCTAATAGCATCGTAACCTTAAATACTAAATTTATTGCCGCACCCCCAGACCCTGGGGGGCCCTTAACATCCCCTTGACTGAAATTTCCCTTCGACTCATGCCAAAATTTTCCTCCTTCAAAGGGCCCTTTATAAGCCCCTGTTCCTTAATCTGTCCCCTTGAATTTCCTTCATACCAAAAGTTTTCACCAGATGAAGGAACAGCCTGACTAATTGAAGCCTACCAAGAGTCGAAACCTGAATAAGGGCCGGTTTAATCGCGCCACAATTCTTTAACCCTTTTCTTAAAATGGCATAGTAGAGTGAAAATTTTCAGAATGTTGGCCAAAATCCATGTTCTCCCGCTACCGACCCAAAGGGCTTCCTCTCACTACCATATTGGTAGGGAGTGGAGACGCCAAGCGGAGTGAAATATCTGTCTCATTGTCCTATCTGTACTAATACAGCCTTTTGGCCAAACTAGAGGCATATATCATTCTCTATATTTTTCCTGATTCACTTCTATTAATCAAAGCCCTGAAAGGCAACGGCTGCCGATGCTCAATGCCCTAGGCTGACGCTTTCTCGGTCTCTAGGGCGCGACTTAGCGAGGCGAGACTAAGCCCAAGTGCGTTACCAGCAAGGCGCACAGCCAGATGGAGCCTTCCTCACTCCTCTCTCTATGAGGAGGAGAGAAAAAGCCCACAGCTCCACGGTCTGTGATCTCTTGAACTCCTAATAATTTCGGCACAAAGCGGGTTAGGACGTACACACGCTCTGCTCAGATCGCCATAATGTAGCAGTCGGGTCTCGTCGAAAGAGCACAACAAATCATAACACGCTTAGCCGTAGTCAAAGCGAGCAACAGTGCGTCTTCATAGACAGCATCTTGAGGGGTGGGGTATTGATTCAATGGCTCAAACGGCGACTTACATAGCGCTTCGAGTACCAAAGCCAAATCCCACTGAGGAAGTGTGGCTCTAGGTGTTGGCCTAAGCCGCCGCGTTCCTAAAAGGAAACGTTTCACTAGAGGGTGGCTAAAGACATTGTCTCTGCCAAACCCCTCATGACAAGCTGAAATCGCCGCTGCAAACACCTTAATGGTGGCGGGCGATCGCTGCTTATCAAACATGAGCTGTAGGAAAGAGAGAATACTCTCAACCTGACAGCTCATGGGGTCTACACCTTGTGTGACACACCATCGTGAAAACACGTTCCATCTACTGGCATACATCTTAGAAGTGGAACTGGCACGTGAACCCTGTATGGTCCTGATCACCGCATCAGATAACCCACGGCGCTCTAGCCTGTCCCTCTCAGCAGCCAGGCCTTCAGTGGTTGGCCGATTATGGGCAACTGCCCTATCCTGCCCCCCGCCTGAGACAGCGCGTCCCGTCGATGTGGAATTGGCCAAGGTGGCGCAATCAACATCTGACTCATCTCCGCAAACCAAGGAGCCCCTGGGCGATCGGGGGCTACCAGTATCACTGACAGCCCTCCTGACCTCACCCTGGCTAACAGTGGGAGAATGCAGGACAGCGGAGGGAATGCATACAGAAGAACTCTCGGCCACGGGTGGTGCGCAAAAGCGTCTCTTCCCAGTGGCGGTTCTTCCTGTTCCCTCAGAGAGAACCATAGGGGACATTGCGCGTTCACGCGTGACGCGAATAGATCCACCTCGGCTCTCCCAAACTGTTCCCAAATTTGG